ACCTGCTTTTCTCCGTTGCGTCCTCTCTCCAGGCATTTCTCTGTCGTGGGACGCACTCTGGGTCCCCCGAGTCTCTCTCTCCCACTCTACTCCTCTCTGGCGTATTCCTGGATCCCCCCTTTCTCAGATGACCCCTCTGGCCCTCCTGTCCCCTCGCGCCCCAAGAGGAGGACGGCCGATGGCTGTGCAGGGGCCTCAGAAGCTGTCCTGGAGTCGGGGGGTGGGGCACCTCCTTTCTTGCTTTTCCTTCAAGTGCCTTTTTTCCTTCTCTCTTCCTCGCCCCCTCTCCCCACCCGCGGCAGGTCCACATCTCCCCATGGCTCTCTCTGGAGACAGAAAGCTAGACACGGACCCATATACACCCTGCACGCAAGACTGCAAACAGATCCAGGCTCAGAGGAAGAGGAGGCAATCAGGATGGGAGAAAGAGGCCAGACATGGACGAAGACCAAGACAAGGAAAAAAGAAGAGGGCGATGGAGGTGGAGCCCCAGGGAGAGGAAGACGAGAAGAGAGAAACCAGAGACCTGCAGAGACCGCGGGCAACGTGAGCTGGACAATGCCAGGGGCGGGGGTCGCGCGCTCACTGCTGAACATCTAGGGTCAGACTCTGTGACCTGTCCGCTGCCACCAAGCCCTCACCAGTGTCCTCTGTGTGAAGTCGGGGTCAAGTGCCTGCCCTCAGCCCCTGGGGCTCCATGCTAGCCGGGACGGTAGGCGCTCTGGCCTTCGTTTGCTCTAGGACTGTCTGGGATGCCAGGGACTCATCGGTCCCAGAAGCTGTAAGAGTTGCCAGCCACTGTCACCCCCTCTGCATCTGTAATGCCCCACCCCATGGCTGACAGCCACTCCCAGTCCTGGGTGGGTGGCAGCTGTCTCCACCCAGCCAGGGACAGCAAAGGCAACCAAAGGGATCTCCAGCGGCTTCCCGGCACCCCACAACGACAAACAGCCCCTCCCATCCCAACTCCACACCCAGCGAGGAGCGCCACCGCCTGCCTGCGCCCGGCCAACCCGCTACAGCAGCACAGCCCGGCCCTCAGCCTCACACAGCCGTGGCCCATGGACCAAGCCCTGGGGCCTGCCCAGCAGCAGCCTCAAGGGGCCGCCCCCACGCCACACCGAGGCTGCAGCTGCCCCACACCCCAAGGCCACGTCTGTAACCGCACACATCCTATTCCTGGAGCCAAAGCCCTCACCCCGGGCACAACAGAGAGGTGGCTAAATGGGCCTGGGGGATCAGAGAAAACCCCAGGACCCTAGGGGGACCTGCTGGCTTCTTGGTTCTTGTCTGCAGAACACCTGTGCTGCCACGCAGGCCTGCACTTCCCGGAGCATCCCAGGGCCACACCTGCACCCTCCAGAGAGGACGTGCCCACCTTGCAGCTCAACGTCTTCTTTCTTACACAGCCCTGGGTGCTGTGCAAGTCACCTCCCCAGACCCGGCAATGGAAGCCGGGTCTCACCCACAGCCAAGCTCCTGCTTCCGAGGTATTCCAGGCCCCCTCGGGGTGTGCGGGCACTCCAGGCAGGCCCCGGCACTCATGCCACAGTCACCTCTGGGACCCCAGGGCCTGGTCCACACCGAAGGCCACTGTGTCTTTTTGTGGAAGGATGAAAGGACAGAAGGGCGGGAGACAAGGTAGGGACACAGCCCTGCTCCTGCCTCAGGTGGCCATGGGGACTCAGACCAGGCCAGCATCCATGGCCCCCAGGAGTGAACCCCCCAGCCCGAGCCAGAACTTCTTCCTTGGCTTCTCCTAACCCTCAGGAGACGCCTTCCCACCCCTCCTCCCAAAGACTCCCTGAGGCCCCCCAGGCAGGTGAATTACATCCTTCTCTCGGGATCTAGCGGCACAAGGCTCAGCACAAAAGAACCCCCCGGAAATGGTGGCTGAAGGAATAAATGGATGGATGTGGGTTTATGTGTCTATGTGTTCACTTATTTATTCATTCAACAAACACTTTTTTTTTTTTGGCCATGCCATGTGGCACGCGGGATCTTAGCTCCCCGACTGGGATCGAACCCGTGACCCCTGCAGTGGAAGCTCGGAGTCCTAACCACTGGGCTGCCAGGGAAGTCCCCATTCAGCAAATACTTAGTTGAGCATTTACACTGTGCCAGGGACTGGGTGTCGACGTGTTAGACAAATAGAGACGTCTCTCCCTGCCTCAGCCATGAAGCTTCGGGCACGGAAACACTACCCGGAGAATATACGATCAGATACCGCGACAATGGCAAGACGGAAGGACAGGGTAGGGGGGCCAGTCCAGGCCAGGGGGGTTGGGGAGCCCTAGATGGAGATCTGAGAGAGGTGGAAGGGTGAGCCCAACCAGGAGTGGAGAGAAGGCCCTGGCAGGGGTGGGAAGAAAGCCAGAGGAAGGGCCAGAGGGAGTGAAGGAGGGGAGCCGCTTGGGCGCCAGAGGCAGACCAGCGCCTCCAGGGCTGGAGGGGGTCTCGCTCACCCCGGGCTCCATGCTCCAGCTCCCTCCAGGGCATCGAGGAGGCCTCTGGACACGTTTTGGGGAACCACTCACCTTCCCAGTATGGTTATAAAGCAAAGACAATGGGCGGTGGGGGCAATGTTCGTTGTAATTGTTTTGCAACAAAATCAGATACCTAAAAGGGTGTGGCTCCCTTCCAACATGTGTCCCCGGGAGGCTGAACTTTCCCTGGAAGCACTCAGATGTTTTGGCAACAGCTTTCAAGGCCAGTTTTAGTTTACGGACTCCATCAACAAAACATCTCTATTGTATAATTGTCTCTAGTTTCTATCAAAACACCAACACGTAGCCCCAGTATGATCTGTGATTAATATTAGCGCTGCTAAATTTATCAGAGTTGCCTCCAAATAAGACTTCAGGTGTTCCCTTCTCCACCCCACCCCACAAATCAAAATCATTCCCAAAGCACAAAGATTGGCCACACGGAGGAGATTCCAAACCTGGAGTGGATTTTGGTGAAATGGAAGAATGAGAGCTTGAAGTTCAGACAGACCTGAGTCCAAATTCTGACTCTAGCATTAAGGTTACCATGGTAACCTTAGGTAACCTTAGGCCAGCTGCGCCTTCCTTCTCTGTGGCTCAGTTTCCTTCTCTTGCAACAGTGACTCACAGCTACTTCACAGGGTGGGAGGGAGTGCCCGGAACAGGCCCTGGCACAGAGGTGGCCCCTATCAAACCTCAGTTTCCTTATTAGGATAGAACAGCTCTCTGGCACGTGTTACCCAATCTGTCGTGCGTATGTCCGTGAAAACTTGGATACTCAACAAACATCTATCTGAACCCAAGGAGCTAAAATCACAGCCCTGACTGCAACCCCCACCAACTCTGACACATAATTCCTTTTAAACACCTCTGTCACTTTAGCCCAACTCTCAGGCATTTCTCAAAGGCCAGCCTCTAGCCCCCAAATGAATTCTGCAGCCTGGAAGCTCCTTGACCTTCTTTTCAACGTCAAGAGCATCAGCGGATATGATGGTTCCTGGGAAAGCTACACTTCTGGTTCCCTGGAGAAAGCACACGTCATGTAGTTCAGACGCCTACGTTCCTTACCGGCTAGAATAGGGCCCGTGGATGAGCTTCGGGGGGTCTGTGAACATCCTGAGGTTGGAGCACAATTGGGTAGACATAGGGATGCGTTTTCCTGGGAGAAAGTCTACACTAAATATTGTAAAACTGGAAATCCATGGGCCAAAGTTTGCCTGAAACATGTGGTTTGGACCACAAGGGGCTTTATGAAATGTGGGGGTAGTTGCCAATATTGAAAAACCGAGAGATTTCACATTAAAGTCTGGACTCCTGGCTTCTCTTGAAAAATCGGAAAATCTGGCAAGTGGCAGGTACGTCTCTGCTTGGGGACAGTCAGTGGAGCTGAAGGGCAGCTCCCCCACCCCTGCCAATGCATTTTCCAGTCCACCGCAGTCCCTACCACACCAGATCGCAAACCCTAGCCTACAGCTTTCATCTGCTTCTTAAAGTAAGGCTGTGACACGCCCCGCCCACCCCCAACCCCAGAGCCACGAGGCTATGAGGGCAAGCAGAGGCCTCCCTGGGGTCCTGAGGCCTGTGGGTTAAACCGCTCTGGTTGGGGCAGCACAAGGCAGGGTCCCGCCCCAGAGGCCCTGTCCCTACCCCTCCCCAGATGCTCACTGCCAGGGCCTCACCAAGCTGAGTGGAGCCAACCCCGGAGCAGATGCCCAGAGCCTCTGCTTCCTGCAGAGCTGAGCGGCTAGAGGACTCCTGCTTCTGTCTGAGAGGCTCAGCGGGCTCCAGGGAGGGGCCTCACAAATCCTCACTTGCTCAGGGGAGCTTCCAGCTGCATTTCAGGCTCCTGACTTCCGAGGCTACATGCTTTCATGGAGTAACTTCGTTCATCCTCACATCCTGTGTGTGTGTGTGTGTGTGTGTGTGTGTGTGTGTGTGTGTGTGTGTGCAGGGGTGCTGTTATTACCCTCCTTTGACAGATGGGGAAACTGAGGATCGCACAGCTGGCAGCGGGCAGAGCGGGTGCTGTCTGGCTCCCGAGCTGGAACCTGAAGAGCCTCGCTAGGCTTCCGTCCTCGGGACAGCGAGTAAAGTGGGTTCTGTTATTATGCCCTTTTATAGACGAGGAAATGGAGGCTCTGACTGTCCCAAGTCACTCGCAGTTAGGAAGGGACAGAAAAGAGATCCTGACACGGGAGGGCCTGACCCCAAGCTGTGATCTGAGCCATCAAGTTACCCCCATCTCTCTCCTACTGAGCCTACCTACCACTCATTGGCAGAAATCCCCACGGTCACCAACAACCAGAACCACGGGTTTGGCCAGAAAGCCGCAGGACACACAGAGGATGAAAACACAGATCAGTCAGAGTAACCTCGTGGAGGACAGAGGCAGAACGAGGAAGGGCAGCATCCCCGGGGTGGGGCCGGAGGTGAGGATGGGAAAGCAGGGGCTTCCGAGAGGAGACTGGAGCCGGAGCACAGCAATAAGCAGAGCTCTGGGACCGTGGCCCTTACCTCTTGGGCAGAAGCAGCGAAGCTAATACATTCAAGCCACCAACCCGGTCCAGTAGAGAACCTGGAGAGAGAGGAGAAGCGATTGAGCATCCTGAGGAAATCGTGAAACGTCTCCACCTCGGGCAGAACGAGGCAGTCCTGGGGCCAAGGGACCCTGCACACCACCAGGATCCACAGGTTGGTGAAGGTAAACTCAGGTCCTGACAGCCACTGGTTACCTTCATTTCTGGGCTCTAAGTCTCAGTGTCGCCATCTTATGAATGGGGATAACGGATGCCTTCTCTTGTAGAACATCTGTTTTTCCCAGCAGACTGGAAGCTCCTTAAAGGGCAGGGACTGCGTCTTACACCTTTAGCCTTTGACAGAGGGCCTGGCAAACGTGGGGCGCCCATTAAGTACATGATGGATGATTGAGTGAATGGATGGATGGATGGAGGGATTAATGAATTGACAAACTATGTATCTCAAAGGACTGCAGGGAGGGTCAAATGAGAAAGAAGTGTGAAAGGGTTCTTCATTATTAGGTGCCTGTGTGCTGTGGGGAGACGGACACAAAAGTCATGATGATGTTTCTAACTGGTATATTTGTTCACTCATTTATTCATTTGGTTAACCAGCAAATACTGAGGCTCATCTGAGCTGGGCTCCGGACCAAGCGTGGGAGGTACGGAGATGGATTAGACAAGGTCTCTGCCCTGTCTACCGGGAGCTCGAAGGCAAGCTGGGGCGACTGAATAAAGAACTGATGTCCACACACTGGGGTAAGCAGAGGATGCAGTGGGAATCCCAGGGGAGGTCAGGGGAGACCCAGGGAGGATGCAACCCCCGAGCCAAGCCTGGCGGACGAATCCACTTTAGCCAGGTGGAGGGGCCGCATGGGAGGAAAGAGAATATCAGGCCTTTGGTCACGCAGGGCTCAGCGAGAGACATGGGAAAGATGAGGCTGCAGAGATGGCAGGGGCTGCACCCAGCAGGGCCTGGTCCAAGCAGCTGCGGGGGAGGGAGATGATGCAGTTTGTCTTCAGAAAGGTCCCACTGCATGCTATGTAGAAGATGGGGAGGACGGAGAGGTCTACAGGAAATGGGGAGACCCTCTCCCAAGAGTGTTTGCTGAGCCTCTCTGCAGCCCTGCAGGAAGGCAGAGTGACGGCTGCTGTCATTCCCACTTTACAGATGCAGCAGGCGAGGCTATGAGGAGACTGACTTCCCCAGAATCCCGTACAGCTCGGTGAGGGGCGGAGCTGGTTAGAAAGCTCAGGCCTTCGTGCCTCCTACTGAAACCCTGTTTCCTGCCCTCTGGGAACGTGGTCTTCTTGGAAAAGCTGCTTGAAGCCACACAAAGACCACCCTTGCTGTGGGCATTCAGAGAAGGAGCAGGGACTGGAGGAGAGGGAGACACTTCCCACCAGGCGGGTCCTGATGAGTGGACGGTGGGCAACATCAGAAGCAGTGGCTCAGAGAGGGAGAGCCCTGTGGGTGGGCTCACCAAGCCAGGAAGCTCACGGCTGCCTGATATCTGTGTGTCCCTGTGGGTGCACTCCCCAGACGGGAGACCTCAGGGGAGTGGGCAGGACGGCGTGGACCTTAACGTTTGGCAGGCTACTTTTCTATCTCACGGCAAATCTGCCGGCACAGATGGGGAAACTGAGGCCCGGGACCAGCCAAGGACACAAGGAATTGGTGGAGGCGGGACTGGAGTCCAGGAAGAGAAAAGAGAAAGAGAAAGAGATGGACTGAGACAGTGGGGAGAGTGATGATAGACAGATAGAGATAGATAGGAAGAAAGGAAAGAGAAGAGAGATGGGGAGACACAGACAGACAGACAGGAGGAGTGGAAGGAGCGCAAGCAGAGACCAGAGAGAAGCCCAAATGGGAAAGTAAAGAAGGGGTGTAAAAGTAACAAGGGGTCCGCCCAACTCCTCCCCCTCCCCCCCCTCTACCTGGGCCTCCATCTTCAGGGGTCAAGGGGACCCGGACCCCCGGTCCCTGTGGGGAGGGAGGAGCTGGGGTTTCTTCCCCACTCGAAGGCAGCCCACCACCCGCCCCCCCGCCCCCGGAGCTAATCAGCGTCTGTCATCTCCACGGTGAGGTCTTGGTTAAGGAGATTTAGGGCTCGGATCAATAGGAAATTTAAAAATCGATGCAGCGCGCAGGGCAAAATCGATGGCGTTTAATCGCCTTGCCGATTCCCAGTCAAAACAATTAGCCGCGCTGAGTGTTGAACACGGTGGCGACACGGCATTAACCGTCAATATTGGTGTAAGTGATGGCGGGGCGGGCAGGGGAATCCCCGGGCCTCTTAGGGGCCCGGAGTCAGACAGCGCCTTCAGGCTGGGGTCCTCCCTGCAGACAGCGCCCCCCTCCTGCCCTGGTCTCTGCCCTCTGCCACCCTCATCTGCGATGCCCACAGGCAGGACCACCCCTGGCCCGTCGGCCTCTAATTCTCCTCCTCGTGCCATCTCCCAGGCCCCAGAACCCCCGTATTCCCCTGACAAATCCCTCTCCCAAGTAGCTAACATCTCCCCACGGGACAGGCAAGCCCTGTGGGAGCTGGGAGCCGTATTCCCAGCAGGACCTTGAGACTGGAAGATGGGAATGGGAGCTATTTAGAAGGTGCCTTCTCCGCATTTCACAGATGGGAACTCTGGGGAACAGAGGGCAAAAGCAGATGGCCCGTGGTGACCTGGCACGGAAGCAGAACTGGAACCCTGACTTCTCTGACTCCGGAGTCCCTGTTCCCCGCAGCTGCGCCACACAGAAGGGGAAGATTCCAATGTTTCCTGGGGAAGGAAAGAAGGTCCTGGCCCCTCAGCTCTCCTTGAAGCCACTAGAACTGCTTCTGGAGTGTAGGCTGGAGCCTGGCTCCACTGGGGGTCCCTACACCACCCAGTACAGGGTATGGCCCTGAGCTGGAGCTTGGGACAGGCCTGAGGATGACAGCGCCCATCAGCCCCCCCACACACACACTGCCCACATACACTTCCACTGAGGAGCAGACGGACAGAGCAACCATCTCCCACAAACACATCAGCTCAGCTAAATTCAGCAGAGGAGCCCATAGTGACAGCAGCCGGGGTTTCCGGGGTGCTAGCTGCGTGCCAGGTGTGGTTCGTTGCTCTGCGGGCATGATCTTGAAGAATCCTTACAACCCTTTGGTGAGGATCATTCTCACGGTACAGATGAGGAAATGGAGGCTCAGAGAGGTGAAATCACTTGCCCAAGGTCACACATCCAAGAGGGGGCAGCTCAGTCTGACCAGACTCCGAGGGAAACGGGACAGAGTGAACAAGGTCTAGTGACCGCAAGCAAGAGAGTGGATGCAAGGGGGGGGTGCAGGAACCCGGCACCTAGGCAGAGGTCCAGGAGGGGCCCACAGAGGCCCCTGAGGCAGGGGTGGGGCAAGCAAGGGGCGGGGCAAAACTGGAGACAGCCCTCGAAGCTCCTGACCTGGCAGGACGAGGACGGGAGATGGTGAGGCCGAGGCTGGCTCTCACCTTCTCTGAAATTGCTGGAGGGCTCTGAAGAGCCCCGAAGGGTCCTGGGGGGCTGCGTGGGGAGGGTGGAGGCTTCCCCAGCCACCTGCTCCCTGGCGCGGAGGCAGGGAGCGTGTGCGGGCAGGGGAGGAGGTCCGTGAGATGAGCCAGGGATTGATCTGACAAGGTCCTAATCAAATGGTCAATATCGCTGACCTGACCACTTAACCTATTGATAAGCTGGCAAGGATGGAGCAGGCGGCGAGGGCTCAGGAAGGACGGCAGCGAGAGGGCTGGGGGGCAGCCCGATGGGCAGTGCTCAGGCCCACAGTGTGCCTGGGTCTGGGGGCCTGGGAGAGGGTGGGCAGTTTCCTCCTCAAGTGCCCCCACCCACCTCCCCTCTGACAGGTCATGTGCCTTCTTCTTCTTTTTTTTTTTTTTTTGGCCGTGCGCACAGCATGTGGGATCTTAGTTCCCCGACCAGGGATCGAACCCGCGTCCCCTGCATTGGGAGTGGACCACCAGGGAAACCCTATGGTCATGTGTCTTCTGCGAGGGGCTTCTACCCAAGCCTCTCCCGCTGGTCAGGGCCCCTCAGCCCCACCCTGAGTGAGGCTGGGAACCGTCCCCAGCACCCAAGCCATTCCCAGCTCTCCTTGGATCGTGCCTTAGCTTCTCACACATATGAGGGACTTCTCTGTGCCTCAATGTCCTTTTCTGTAAACTGGGGATAATTACAATAGGAAATGCCAGGAAACAACCTAGATGTCCTGTGACTGGGGACTGGTACAGTTCATGATGGTGCGGCAGCCGCATAATGGAGGGCTGCAGAGTTGTAGAAAATATGCTTGAAATAAATTCATTGACAAGGAAGCTACATTCCTAATCCATTGTTAGGAAGGAAAAAAAGGCAGGTTATAAACTGGTATGTAGTTTATGGTTCCATTTTTATGAAACGCACGCACATACACACACACTTTTTTTTAATTTTCCTAAAGAGAAAGGTTTAGAGCAGAAATCGGAACTCTTTTTTTTTTTTAAGTTTTTTTTTTTTTTTTTTTTTGGCTGCATCGCTCAGCTTGGGGTATCTTAGTTCCCCGACCAGGGATTGAACCCGTGCCCAGTCCCTGGGCCCCAGCAGTGAAAACAGAGTTCTAACCACTGGACCGCCAGGGAAGTCCCAGAAGTCAGAATTCAGAGTTTGGTCCCAGGCATCTGACTTTTAATACATTCTTTGGGTAAACTCGTAGGCATACTCCCATTTGAGAAAAAGCTATCTAGAAAGATAGGCATCAAGAAATTAATTTTTTTTTTTTTTTGTGGTACGCGGGCCTCTCACTGTTGTGGCCTCTCCCGTCGTGGAGCACAGGCTCCGGACGCGCAGGCTCAGCGGCCATTGCTCACGGGCCCAGCCGTTCCGCGGCATGTGGGATCTTCCCGGACCGGGGCACGAGCCCGTGTCCCCTGCATCGGCAGGCGGACTCTCAACCACTGCGCCACCAGGGAAGCCCAAGAAGTTAATTTTTTTTTTTTTCATTTAACTAGATGATCATGGTGTGATTTTTTATCCCATTGCATATCTGCATTTTCTACTTTTTCTACAATGAACATGTGTCACATGAGTTAACACCTGTTTGTAATTGCAAAAGGCGGGGCTCATGAGTCCTCCATCAGCAGGACTGTGGCAAGGCGCTCGGCAGACACACGATGAGCGGTGTTCCTCTGACCCCTTTCCCTTTCCCAGACAGGCTCGTCTCATGTTCCCCCTGCCTCCAAGCCCAGCCGAGCCCAGAGCCCCCAAGAATGTGAATGAATCTGAAATCTGCTGAGTGGAGAAGCTCCTCTGGTTTCTCCTCTATTAGAGAGGACGGGGTAGGACCTAGCCGAATTCTGTGCCCTGTCCCCGCTTCAGGAAACTGGCTGAGGGCTTATGGGCAGGAGGGACAGCTGGAGGGGAAGCCGAGGCCCAGAGGGAAGGAATGGATTTTCCCAGCATCACACAGCTGGTTGTAACAGAGCTGGGACCAAAGCCGGCTCCTGGGTTGTGCCATCCCACTGCCAAGAGGAGAAAAACCTGAAAGATCAAGTGTGCACGTGGGCCAGAGGACTAGTGAGAGGGCGTGAGATTCTATGGAGCAGAAGAGCATGGTGGTCAAAAAGCTGTGTGACCCTGGGCAAGTCACTTCATCTCTCTGAGCCTCAGTTTGCTCAAACATAAAACGGGGATAACACCTGCCTCACAGTGGTGGTGTGAGAAGTCAACAAGACCATGCTTACAACCAACTTAGGAGAGGGACTGACACAGAAAGGGGCAAGTAAGTGGTGGAAATGATATTAGGATGATCAGCCCACAAATGATGTATGTGAGTAGGATGTGCAGGGTGCGGAAGGGAATGCAGTGCGAGGGGGCAGGAGGAAGGCGTGTCCTGGTACTCTGTCTTGGGGTGAACAAATGCAATGAAGACACCAGGCTCAATATGTTCCTTTAGGGACTTCCATGGCGACCCAGTGGTTAAGACTCCGAGTTTCCACTGCAGGGGGCACAGGTTCGATCCCTGGTCAGGGAACTAAAGATCCCACATGCCGCGTGGCACGGCCAAAAATATATATTTATATGTTCCTTTGTTCACTTGTTCATTCATTCATCCATTCATTCATCCAATAAGCACTTCCTGAGGCCAATTCTAGGTCAGACCCTGTGTCAAGCCCTGCAATCCACATATGAACAATGGGAGTTCCCGCTGAGTTAGTAAAGAGGGATTGGGGATGGCTGGGCTGCTCTCTCATCTGTGAGAGTTGCTTGCCTCAGTGGCCTCCAAACCACCCTTTGAGGCTTCTGCTGAAAGGGGCCTAGCAGGAGCGCAAGCCCCCACCGCCTGCCTGGTGCGGTACTTCAGGTGGGTGTGCGAGCACACGTAGGAATAGTAAGGTCTGTGCAGACGGGCTGTGTTCACCTTTGTGATTCACAGCCCCGCACACCAGGCCTGACACTCTGGGGACACGCCGTGCTCGATTTTTTTTTTCCTCTGTGTTTTTTTTTTTTTTTTTTAATGAAAAAAAAAATGTTCAAAGCGCCTAGCACAATGCCCAACACCTGGCAGGGCCTCAATAAATAGCAGCTATTATTAGCATCATCATCACACACCAGATCACTCTTGATCCCTACAAAAACCTTATTTTGCCGACGAGAAAAATTGAGGTTTTAAAAGGAGTGATGTGATTTGCCCACAGCCGTGGCTGGGACTCAAAGCAGGGTGTGTGCGACCCTGCAGTCTGGGGTCTGCCTTTTCCTGTCGTGGGGTGGGTTGTCAGGGTCAGGGAGTGGGGGAAGGGCAACAGTTGGGGGGTAAGCGGACGCGATGATGCGGGGGCAAGGGTGCGTCGGCTGGGGTGAGGGGAGCATTGTCAGGAAGATGGAGTGGAGTGCACAGGCCCGGGAGGATGGGTGTGGAGTCTAGCTGCTTCGGCCAGCTGGCTTCCTTCCTCAGGCAGGAGGTGACCTGCCTGGCCGATGCCCCTACCACACTGGCAGGTGCAGGCCCCCTTCTGCCCCGGGAGGTGAGCTCCCTCCACTCGTGCTCAGCACCACCAACGTCCAGCTCTACTGTTCTACTGGACAAGTGGATGGCAAGGGACCCAGCTCCTGTTCATCTGACAAACGTCCACTGTGCGCTCACTGTGTGCTGAACATCGTTCTAGGCAGCGGGGATACAGCCGTGAACAAGGCAAAGTCCCTGCCCTCACAGTGTTGACTTTCTAGTGGAGGAGGAGATACAGCAGATAAGAATATACACCTCAGAGCTAAGAAGGAAAATAAAGCAGGTGAGGGGGTAGGTTACAAGGTGATGTTACTTTAGACTGAGAGGTCAGGAAAGGCCTGTTGGGGAAGGTGGGCTTTGAGTAGTGCTGGGGGTAAGAGCTTTCCTGGCCAAAGGAACAGCAGGTGCAAAGGCCCTGAAGCAGGACCAAGGTTGATGAGTTTGCAGAAGAGCAAGAAGGCCAGAGTGGCCTGAGCTTCTGGAGGCAGGAGGAAAGGTGCGGAAGTTGAACAGGCAAGCGGGTACCAGTTCATGCAGGGCTTCAGGGCTAAAGAAGATGTTCTAAGCGTGTTGGGGGACTCACGATGGCAGATGAAAGTTGGTCTCACCTTCAAAAACCAAGCTCCATCCTCACTGCTTCCCCATATACCACGTGGGGCTTTCTGACCCATTCATTCTCTAAGAACAAGCTCCAGACGCCTTCAATAAACCCTTGGAGTCCCAGACAAGGCTCCTTCAGGGTCGACCCTCCCATTCTGGGGACTCCACTGGGGCAGGGAAGGGACTGGCTCATCCGTGCACCTTGGCACCCAGCTAAGGCCTGGCCACAGGAGGCCTCAGGAAACAGCAGAGTGTCAATGGTCACTAAAAGGGATTGTAACCCTTGACCTCCACCTCCCAGCAAATCTCCCTGTGGGAGCAAGTTGTAGCTTGTTCAACTCTGCCCAGTGGCAGAGAGAAGGGGCTGGAGCCGGGGGAAGGCAGCTGTGTCACCGCCCTGGCCAGGCCTTGTCCAGGGTTCCCAGGGCGGATGGGCAGGGCAGGAGGCCTCCTCCCGTCCCTCCTCCTCACCAGACTCTGAGATCCCTGACTTAGTACGTGGCTCACATCCTGTCAAGCCCCTCCTCAAAGCCCTTCTGTCTACGCGGTGCGCCTGAAAGAAATCCGAGCCTCACAGCCCTTCCCAGTGATGTCAAGCTTCACTTCTCGCCCCTACCTGAACACACCTGCAAGTCCAGTGATGTGTACATGTGCTCACACCTCCGTGCCTGTGCACAGGGACTGCCTCTATTTCTTTATTTTTTATTATTTTTTATTTTGGGCTGCACGGCGAGGCTTGCGGGATCTTAGTTCCCGACCAGGGATCGAAGCCACAGCCCCTGCAGTGGAATTGCGATGCGCTAACCACTGGACCGCCAGGGAATTCCCGGGAGTGCCTCTATTTGGATAGCCCTCTGCCTCCCCTTTTCCTCTGGACCTTGCCCACAATTCTCCATGTCACCTCCTCAGTGAAGCCCCCTGGACCCTCCCAGGCAGCACAGCCCTGGCACACTCTGTGCATCTCTGTCAGAGCCCAGACAGCTGGACCCCAGCCAGGGGGACCCCATGTTCCACCAGAGGAGTTTTCTAAAGGGTCACTGAGGTACAGAGGACTGGGGGTGGGGGCATCTGCGTCCTGCATTATTTATGCCTGTGTGGCCTCAGTAAGTTTTGGGAGGGATGTGTGTGCACGTTTAGAATCAGTATGTTGTGTCTAACGCTCAGCTTAAATGTCATGTCCACAGAGGTGTTACACCTGACCCACCAATCTCAACCAAGTTCTCCCACGATCCCTTCCCCCGGCCCCTTGTTCCTTTCCTTCCCAGATGTTATCACTGTTCATAACCAACTACACACTGAGGTCCAATCAGTACCCATCCTGTTGGCTCCAAGCTCTTGGAGAGCAAGGCCCAGGTCTGTCTTGTAAATCACTGTTCCCCAGCTTCTAAGATAGGGCCTGGCTCACGTAGGGCCCAGTTCCTGTGTGATGAATGAATTCATTCCGTGAATGTGTGATGAATGAATTCCTTCCGTGAACGTTTTTAGACCTGAGCATCTACCCATTTTCATTTTGCTCTAAGGGAACAAGTCTGAAGTGGGAATGTCTGTGTGCTGTAACTCAGAACACGTCCCTTCGGGTCACTGTGAGTGGCTTCCCTGTGGGACTTCTGAACGTGGCCTGTGTGCACCCATGGGCATGTGGGCTGAGATGCCGCCATATTTAGTATCTGTGTTTGTACCTTTCCTGTTGAAAAGACTCTCCACGTGAGGAGCACCCTGGTGTTTTAGTATTTGTCTTGCCGTGTGATGTTTCGGTACCTACGAGCACGCATAGATGTCTGGGCTTTCATACCTGCGTGTGAGTGCGTGCTTATCCTTGTTTGTATATCTGGTGTGTCCATTTCAACATCTCTGGAGACGTGTGCACAAGCATCTGTGTGGATTTGTAGGATTTTATATCTACGTGTTTTCTAAAGAAAATCTCTGGCCAAGGGTACAGGTACCTGGGTCTCAGGACCCACAGGTGCACAGATCTGTCATGTTTTCGAGAATGTGTGTGCGTGTGTCTATTTTAGAACCACTGCATGTGTCTGCATGTATATCCATTTCAAAATTTCAAAGTCTCTGACTATACTTTGTAGTTTGGAGGGTGTGTGTGCGTGTGTCTGTGTGTGTGTGTCTGTGTGTGTGTCAAGAATGACATGGACGTGGGTACAGTTGTGTGTCCCTCTTCCCCTTTCCAGCCTGGATGAGTACCTCTTCTCTG